GTAAATCTAGGGGGGCTTCCTAGGAGAGGGTGTGTGTGTGTGTAAATCTAGGGGGGCTTCCTAGGAGAGGGTGTGTGTGTGTGTAAATCTAGGGGAGCCTCCTAGGAGGGGAGGTGCCCTGTGCATGGAGTGGGTACTGTAAAGCAAGGGTACTGTGCCTTAGGGGATTATAGAGGCCCAGGCATCATGAGACCGCAGCAGGTGGGCACCGCTGCCGCCTCCCCCTCATCCTCTCCCCCGCCCCGTGTCTGCGCAGTACCTGATGGAAGGCAGCTACAACAAGGTGTTCCTGGCCAAAGGCAACATCCCCGCGGAGAGCTATACCTTCTTCATTGACATCTTGCTTGACACGATCAGGTGCGTGGGAGGCCTGCGCGCCACAGGGTCCCTCAAGGGTGGTGGCAGACAGCCCCGGGTTGGAATCCCACCTGGCCGTTTGTGGTCTGGGGGGCCCGGGGACATCCGTTTTCTTGTCTCTGGCCTGGAACTGGTCATGAGATAACAACCCTTTCCTCTGGGCTCTTGGACACATGTGCCCAGTGGGTCAGGCCTTGCACGTGGCCCAGAAGTGCTCACATGCTGACTAGAGGGGTTCCAACCCACGAGTCCAGTGCCCTCACCTCAGGCACCTCAACTGGAACCCCCCGTTTTCCATTCTGTAGAATGGGATCACCAAGTCCCACTGACCCTGGGGCGAGCTGTGTGATCAAGTCACATCCCCTGGGCGGGTGGGCGTGATGTTTACGAGCTCCTCGGGTGGAAGGGAGTTAAGGGGTGAGGGCTGGATCACGCAGGCGGAGTGCCCAGTGGAGTGGGTTTCCACTCCCTGGGTAGCAGAGCCAAGCCCAGAGCAGGGAGTGGGGAGGGACACTTCAGCAGGCTTCGGCTGTTGTTAATTATGAGACATTTTAGCTTTTCAAAGTGGACAGGTCGTGATCTAAAAAGTACCCACACATGAAGCACTTGCCCTAGAATTGGTGTCTCATGAATGGGTGCTTGCCTCCCTTCCACTGCTTTCTCCTCAGAGCTGACCCCTTCTCCCTTCTAGTGACTGAATGCCTCCCTGCTTTCTGCTTCTAAGCTGATTCTCATGATTTCTGACAGGGGTACTAGGAACCCTTTTGGGATTAGATCTGGAAATGAGGTGCAGTGGCCTTACGGGGGATAGGTGATAAGTGAAGAGGTCGTCTCACGGAATCCCAGGCTCAGGTTCGGTGAACCTGAGGTCGCTGTGACTGCAAGTGGCATTCTGAGTGACAAGGGTCTGGGTGTGGACACCCCCCCCCTCACCCCCCGTGGCCCCGAATGTGCACCTGGGAGCCATGGGTCACCGGCAGTGTTCAGGGAAGCGCTGCTTCACTCACGTCGGAAACACGATGGGGCTGGGAGTTGTCTGCTCTGTAGTGAGGCCCTGCTCTTCCCCCAGGGATGAGATTGCTGGGTGCATCGAGAAGGCCTATGAGAAAATCCTCTTCACCGAGGCCACCAGGATCCTCTTCTTCAACACACCCAAAAAGATGACAGACTACGCCAAGAAGGTGGCTGGGGCACAGGAAGGAGGGGTGTGGGGCAGGGGCTGCCTGCCTTAAGAGCAGCATGGGGTGGCGGGAAGTCAAGGAGCAAACTTCTGGCTTAACTCCAGCTGTGTGCGCTCAGGTGAGTTGCTACACTGGCGTGGGCTGCAGTGCCCCTAGCTGATACTCTAGAATGTCACGCACGGGGTGGGCGTAGCACGGCACTTGGCTCCAGTGAAGGTGCACGTCTGTCCCTTCATCCGCGGTAGTGACTGGCCTTGTCAGCACCCTCGCAGGTCGCAGCTGTCCCCACTCGACTGCTTCCTTGTCTGGGGTGCCGAGCAGGAGCCAAGCCCTGCAGAGGCCAGTGCCAGGTTACATAGACCCTGGTGTCTGCACCCTACAGTATGTCTGCACTTTAGAGGGGTTGCTTCACTGAATCCACACACTGGACTTGGAGCTCGTGACTAGGGCCCCATTGTAAGGTTGAAAACTAAGGCACAAAGCAGGCCCTTACCTAGAGTTCTGCAGGTGAGGAAAGGCTGGTGAGGAAAGTGAACCAGGATCCACATAGGTAAATGCTGGCTCCGTGGGGTGAGGACAGCCCTGGTGAGCCCACACCCCTCTGCCGCCCTTCCTGCAGCGAGGGTGGGTGCTCGGCCACAACAACTACTACAGCTTCGCCAGCCAGCAGCAGAAGCCGGAAGACACCACCATCCCCTCCACCGAGCTGGCGAAACAGGTCATCGAGTACGCCCGGCAGCTGGAGATGATCGTCTGAGCCCGCGGGCTCGGGCCGCGCTCGCCTTATCTGAAGCGGGCACGGTGCAGGGCCCGCTCCAATAAAAACGGATTGCCACTCGGTGCCCTGGGCCCTCGTCTGCCTGGCTGGAGTGTGGGGAGAGAGTGCTTGTCTCTGAAGAAGTGGGAGGCTTGGGGGCTCTCCACCCGCCAGCTCAGGCCCTGGCTGGTACTCAAGGCCTGGCAGGGGCCCGAGGCGGCCAGGCCGGGCGCTGCTGTTTTTGGGGGAAGGGGGTGA